GAAATAGATCATCCAAGTGTGCTCAACAAGAAATTAAACAAACAAACAAAAAAAACATTTCCTTTCCCAATGGAAAGACACCAATTCTAAACTTGCTTTCTTCACTTTTGACAGGATTTAAGCTCTGTCCTTATTATGCTTTACAAAGATGGCTGCCTCCATATTCTTAGTTGCAAAAATACATGAGCCATAGAAATACCCTTTCGAGAGAGGTGTGTTTCTACCAGATTCCTTAAGTTAAGGGGGAAAAGGAGAAGTGGTTTCTTTTTCTGAACAAAGGGGATTCTAAGTACAAGTTGTCCTGGCTGCCACTGTGGGTGCAGAGCAGGAAGCTGCACTTGAAGCAAGGGCAACAGCTTGCTTCCAGCTTATTTACAAAACCACAGCTGCTGTGCACAGTAACCGCAAAGTCTAATTGCATGCGCATCATTTGTCCACATATGCGGGGTCAGTCTGCACTCCCCCTTCAGTACGACCCAAGAAACAAACCTATCACAGAGTATGAAGAGCATGGGCGAGATTGTCAAGATCATGCCATCTCACCTTAGTGCTACTGGGTTTGGTTTAACCGCTATGTGTAATCAGAATTTCACCTGCCAAAGAAAGCCAGTGTCTAGGCTGCTTCAGCAAACAAAAGGAGGAAAGAGGACCAACCAGCAAGTGGCAAAACAGCACACCAAAAAAGAGCTGAGAGGCCTTCACACTTCCTCACGTGTATCTCTGCATTATAAAGCATTTCAAGTGTAGAATTCTTCCCTACTTGTAAGATCTAGCCTCTGGGGCACTTTTTAAAAATAACAAACTATTGCATGTATATTGAAGTTATATATTGTAATAAAATTGATTTCCATGATTCCACCATCCAACCTAATTTAGAAAACATTAATCCTGACCCACCTGGGCCCTGCATCTCTCTCTCTCTCTCCCTAGCCCCTACACGTAACCATTTTCCTGAAGTTTGTTTCTCTCATTCTCTGTTTTTATTTATAATTTTATCACATACCGTGAATCCCTAAACAACATATTATTTATTGTTGCTTTGACTTTTTAAAGTCTCATAATATATATATTCTAATGCAACTATGTTTTAATTCTTTGCAGGCTTTTTTTTCTCATTGTACTAATTCAACTATATCATTTCCTCTAGCTCATTCATTTTTACTTTTGTAAGTGTGTGTGTGTGTGTGTGTGTGTGTGTGTGTGTGTGTGTGTGTGTGTGTGTATCACAAAAAGTATAACTATACCACAGATTTACTTATTTGTTCTCCTGCTAGAAGACATTTGGGCTATTTTTAATTATTTTTCTGTCACAAACTGTGCTGCATTTGAACATTCAGATACACATTTCCTAGTTCTCCTATGCAGAGGTTTCTCCGGATGTATACTTAGGAGTGGTATTATAGACTCAGCCTAAAAAAATAATGCTGAATTGTTTTCCAAAGTGTTTTCCAATTATGTTCCTACTGGCAGTGTGTGCAGGCTCCCATAGGGCACATCCTTGCCAACATGCATCCTCTTCAAACATTTTAATTATTGCCAAACTAGTGGGTTTAAAATGATGTCTTCTTGTGGTTTCGATGTGTATTTTACTAATTGCTTATGTTTCTCTTCCAAGAAACACCTGTTCATGTCTTTGTCTATTTAGAAAAATGAGTTTCTTTTTCTTTTCCTTAAAGATTTGTAGGATTTCTAGGTCAAATTCATTTTCATTTATATGTACTGCACATATCTTCCAGTTTGACACTTGCACTTTTTCTCTTCTACTAGTATTTGAGAGAGTCTCAATTTTAATAAAACAAATTGTGTTTTCTTTTAAAGTTATTATGTTTTGTGTTGGTGACTTGTTTATGAAATCGTTCTCTACCCTGAAGTCAAAACAGATTCTCAGGTTCTGCTCCAGACCTGCTGGATCAGAAACGGTGGGGTGGGGCCCAGAAAAACGTGCTCCCATGGGCCCTTCAGGTGATTCAGATGCAACTAATGTCTGAGAACTGTTGGCCTAAGAGCCCAAAAATGGCCCAAAGGCTACATCACAGAAATATTAGTGAAAATCTTCAATTGTTTTATGTTTTTTCTATTAAGAGTATTAAAGCTTTATCTTTGATAATGTGAGTACTTAATTCATATGGACTTCATCTGGAATTAACTTAGCATATGATATGATGTTGTGATAGAACTTCATTTTTTCCCATATGGATAAACTGTTTCCCCAGCATCATTTATTGAATTGCCCCTGTCCTTGCCAGTTACCTGCAGAGCCGGTTTTATCATATATCTTTTCCCCTGTGCAGTATGGAATTGAAGTACACAGGAATATATAGAAGTATTTAAGAAGTAAAGAGTAGAAAGAGATAAGAATTTTGATTTTTTTTATTTTGAAAACAATGCTTCTAATAGTTTACTATTGAGTAGAGATGCATGATGTTTCTTTCTATTGCACTTTGTGAAAACATTTTGTTTTTCTTTTTGAATCACAAATGGATGTAGAATTTTATTGAATGGTTTTCTGTGTCTGTTGAGATGAATATGTTTGTTTCCTTAATCTATTAATGTGGTTAGTTCCATCCACAAACATTCTAATGTTAAACTTGGGTGAATTAGATACATTATAAAATTGTCTCAAGACTATTTTTTGCTCTCTGAAATATCCAGATTCTTATCTTCTGTTGTTTTATTTGTGTGCTAACTTTAATGTCATTTCACAGTTTTACAGTTGTCTCAGGATTTTACCCCTGGCCTCTTCCTTGCTCAGACCCAGGCAGCAGGGGGTGTTGAACAACTCAGGACTTGGAGTCCAGGCCCCCTCCTTTTGAATTGGGTTCATCTATTTGTAGCTGGTGACATTGGGCAAGTTCCTAAACATTTCTGAATTTAGGCTTTTAAGGCTTTTTGATACAAATTAAAGCTTTTGATACATTCTTCACAACATCATAAGAAGCAAAGCCAAATAATATATGGAATGACTGAGCCTCAGACTTAGATACCAGAATGATGCAGGTCACCTGTTGTTACTAGAAATGTAAATCTTTGGTAGGCGCCTGTATGACCTGAAGATGACATTTTTCTTTTCTACTATACATCATAGGCACTTCATGGTTGAGAACATGCATTTTATGCCAGTGAAATTCTACTCATGAATCCAATCACTTATTCAACAGAGTTAATTACCTATTATGTGTTGGATACCTTGTTAGGCTGTGGGTGATACTTTGTTTCACAAGACAAGCATGAACCAAAAGAGACATGCTCTCTGGCCTCATGCATTACAGGGGAAGACAGGTCATCAAGCATTTGGGAGACAGGATGGGTGTGGAGTGTTCTGGGAGAGCGCTCATATGTCTCATATGGCAGAGGGGATAAAGCAAGTCAGGCCAAGACTTGAAGCCATGAGCTTGGTGGTGAAAGGGAGGGGGAAGAGTATTCGAGGTGGATAGAATGGCCTGTGGGTAAAAGTTCACTTTATTTGAGGAGCAGGACGGAGATTGAGGCTGCCTGGAGAAGGGTGTCGAAGGTCAGTTGGAGGCGGGACAGGTGTAAATATGGGGAGGCTAGCTCGAAGGCGCTTACAGAGGTTCAGCTGAGAAACGATAGTGTCTTGGAGGAGTAGCAGCAGTGGTGAGAAAGTGGATAGTTTCTAAACGTGTTTAGGAGGTAAAATTAATGGGATTTGGAAAATCAGTGATTTAAAGGGATAAGAGAAAGAGTCACTTGCAGGCTTGAGAAAAATGGGTGGATGAGAAAGGAAACATTAAAGGGGGAGGAGAGGTTTGAAGAGAGTCAGGTGCTACTGAGAGGTCACAGAAAATAATGTCTGAAAATTGTCCATTGGATTTAGGGACCTGAAAGCCAACGATGACCGAAGGAGAATTTGGAACATTCTGAACCACCAAGGGGGACCTTCTGAACCATATCTAAGATATTCAGGCATTTTCGGCATTAAGTGGACAATAAAATACGCAAATAAGCCTATCAAATGCATTTCTTGACTACCCTTCATTGGCGATCATCACCTAGACACTGATTCTAAGTGTGTTTGGGGCCTCAGACTTCCTCTGTCTCCGTGCTTTTGGGAGTCCCGTTAGTCCTTGATCTCAATCAGGAAAGATGAGCAGTGATGCTACTGTTTCTCCCCATTCTCCTCTCTTCTCATACTTGTTTTGTTAGGGTGGTAGATCCTAAATAGGAACTTGGAAAAAAAAATGTCCTTTTAAACTCAGCTAAGTCATCTTTATTTTCTTGAGGAGAAGAGAGTACTTAACAGGCCGACAGTGTGAGGCAACAGAATAAAATTGAAGGTGTTAAGATTTCATAGGAGTCATGCTGGCTTCCCGGCAGAGAAGGATTCCACTAGGGATTTGATTATCAAGGAAATGAAGATGACTTTTTTGTAGAGCTCATTTCTTCCTCATGAAACAAAATTGTTGACTTCTTTCCACATGGTTTTTTAGGTTGACATGACTAAATGTGTCCTAGTATTGTAATTGGTCGTAGTGACTTAAATTGTTTTTATTTCCCTTCCTACTTGGCAACCTTAAGGAAATTGAAAAAACCAAACAAGTAAGTACCAGAATGTTCACTGTAGCCTTGTTAATGTAATGATAGTAAAAAACTGGAAAGAGGAATATCCATAAATAAGTAACTGAATAAACTATGTTACATCCTTAAAATAGAATATTAGCCATTAAAAAGAATAAACTAGGTAATCATGTGTTGATATGAAGAGATACCTAAAACCTAAGACGCAAAACAAATATGTATAGGCACACACACACATTTATAGAGGTGCAAAATTTTCTGGAAGGATACTTTAGAAGGTGATAATAGCGGTTGCTTTTGAGTAGCATAGAACTAGAGTGGGGAAACTTACTTTTCATTTTATGCCTTTGTTTCCACATGGAATGTTTTTTTCATTTTGCACATATTGCTTTTAAAATAATAATCTTAAAATTACTCTAGTTAGAACTTAAAATTAAATAACCTTTGCCCTTTTGAATGTTTAGCTTCTCCTAGGTTTTTTCATCTTTCTCCTTCCCTTGGCTCCACTTTCTCTCCGAGCATTTCTCATGCCCATACATGTTTATTCTGGACTTCTCATCTTTGGAACCGTGATTGCAACAGTGCTTATGGGAGTGACTGAGAAACTGATATTTACCCTGTAAGTCACATAGTTTTCCTAACTGTATACTTAAGCTATAAAATGTTAAATACTTGTTCATTGGAAAAAGGTAATAAAATGTAACAAAAATTTTAAAATGTTGAACATTAAAAATTTTAAATATTTATGCTTAAAACATTTATTACATTATATATAATACAATATGACATTGTATATAATATTATACAATTAATATAACATTGTTAAGTGCTTGAAGAAGGGCAAAAAAATTCAACAAATTGTCCTACTCTTAAAACAACTATTGAAATTATGCATGCCCTTATGATCTTTTTGATGTGCATGTTTTTCTTAATTATAATTATGGTGTATAGACATTTTTGTATCATCCCTTTTTCGTTAATTTTTTTTCATTTATTGATTTCAGAGAGAGGGGAAGGGAGGGAGAAAGGGAGAGAAACATCGATGTGAGAAACACTGATCCGTTGCCTCCTGCATGTGGTCCAACTTGGGACCAAACCTGCAACTCAGTCATATGCCCTGACCGGGAATTGAACCCAGGACCTTTTGGTCTATGGGACGATACCCAACCAACTGAGCCATACCAGCCAGGGTGATCTTTTTTTTCATTTTTTAAGTGATGCAGGTACTCCAGATGCTGTTATTTTCATACCAATGATTTTTAGAACAATTTTATACTATTCCAGTGAGTGAATGATAGGCTAAATTTCTCCTTGATATCAGGCTTTAAGAGAATTACATTGAAGCTGTACCAATGTGCATTTTGAGCTGATAAGATCAAAACTGTTTGGCATGTTGCTGTCTCACAATGTTTGTAACTTGAGACTCCTTTTTATTTGTAGGAAAACGCCTGCCTATAGTACGTTGCCCCCAGAAGGCGTTTTCGCAAATATCCTCGGCCTTCTGATTCTGGTGTTCGGAGCCCTCATCTTTTGGATAGTCACCAGACCACAATGGAAACGTCCTAAAGAACCGAATTCTACCCTCCTTCAGCCCAACGGAGGCACTCCAGAGGGCGTGGAAGGCTCCAGAGCAATCAACTTTGGCAACATGGACAAATCAGATTCAGAGTTAAACGATGAAACAGCAGCGAGGAAAAGAAACGTTGCCCTTGACGATGCTGCTCAGAGATCCACCATGTAAAATGTTGTAGAGGTGTAGCCTTGTAACTTCGCTTTTAAAAACTAGCTCTGCAGTTTAGCATCTGCCTTTTAGCCATGAGATGATTGAGCTCCATAGAGTTGTTTTAATCCTGAAGTAGATTTTCTCAAAAGAGTATGTACTGAGTGAGACCTATGAACTTAGCTGAACCGGAAAGGAGGTGGTTGATGTAAACGATTCTAGCTGTAAACTGTGGTTCTGTTACCTGTTGTCGAGGGCCAAAGCCTCCTGTGCCGTGCAGAGAGCAGATGCTCAAAATGTGTCTGTTGTTTGGCAAACCTGATAAATTGGCAGCCCTGAAAGTTTTTCCAAAACTCAACTTAGTCCCAAGGCTTCCCTGGCGTTTGGCATATTTTATGATCCAGATTCCAAACTTAATTAGATGGGAATATGCCTGTATTCTTAAGCAGCGTGAACTGCTCTACAAATCCCAAAGAGCACTTTCCTCAAGTTTCTGTTTTTATTTTTTAAAAGTACTCGCATGGCACTTGCTATGTGCCAGAACTATTCTAAGCACTTTATAAATCTTAGCTCATTCAGTCCCTGGACAAACCTTGAGAGGCAGGGACTATTATTATCTCTACTTTACGGATCAGAGATCTGAAGCTTGAACGGTTAGTAACTTGCCTCAAAGTCGTAAGTGGTGGAACTGAAATTCAAAACCTGCTAGTCCGGCTCCTCAGTCCACGAGTCTAACCACTCCATTAGGCTATTTTTTTTCTGATTTATACTAATTTGCACCTACTTTGACTCTCCCCTGAATAGATTTCAACTGCTGGAGTGCAGTGGAGTTGTTAATGTTTACCTTTTGGCTCTTTTTCCCAAGGTAGATTCCTCAGGTCACCAAGGAAATACATCACAGACACCCTCACACTGCCCCAAGTCACAGGCTGCCCTGATGCCTCTTTGTGCTTAAAGTTGTGTCTTGATGACAAAGAAAAGTTTGGACAAGAACATGTATGGCTTTCAGGATAATAAGTTACAACTGTTGTTCTTCACAATCTTAGCTGCTGAACAGTTTTGGGTTTGAAGACAGGGGAGTCTTACCTCACGGCCTGCCCTTCCTGGGGGTGGTAGTTAGGGGCCTTCCAGATCTGGGTGGAATTTTAGGGGATATCTTGAACTTTGTGTTCTTGGTAGCGAATGGAGCCTCAGAGGTGACAGCCTTCGTGCCCGGAGACCTTCTCTTGGCTGACTTAAATTCAAACCTAGAGGACTGCCTTGTTGAAATGATGTTTTTCATTTTGGGGTCGGTTTTTGGTTTCCCTGCAATGTTAAAGTGGACTATTTTAATGTGGATAAATACCTTAGAGTTTTACACCAAATACACTTGACTTTTTTTGGTGTTTAGTGGATTTCCTTTTAGGATAACTGGGAATTACTTCCATAGATTGCATATTGAATATACTCCATCACATCCCTTAAGCTTCATGGATAACTGTTCAAGACTCCCTTGCCAAAACACTGTCTTCTTCTTATGGAATTCTCTTTCCAAAATTGGTAGTACTGTCAGAAGGACTGCTAGTGCCTGGCTCAATCCCTGGCAAATAGTAGGCACCATTCAATTTAAAATCAGTAGAGCAGACTATAATTTTGGTGCTAAGTTGGAGAAATTCCATTGTCACACAGAAACATTTGAAAAAGGGATGTTTCATTACATGGCGAGGCACAGAATTCCAGGAGATTTTTTGGGGGGAGAGGTCGGTGACTGCCTCAAAAATTCAAACTTTCATTCCATTTTATATAGGCCAAGATAGGTTATCACTGAAAAGTTAATTATGGACTTGGTGCTATACTGTTGTGCTCCATTTTAAAGTATTTGAGCACCCCTCATCTCAGCCCTTTATTTTATCATCCCTGTGGGCTGATGTTTTGGTAATCTTACAGATACTATAGGATCTTCTCTTTCTTTCTCAGCCTGATTAAAACAATGCATAATAAAATATGCCCAGGAAAACTTTCTGTTTGAGTCTTTTAATGCGCATTCTATTCTAATGATAATTGCACCTTTATTTTTCAAGAGCTAATATTTGCTACCTAAACCATCTCCCCCAAAAAATCTCATTAAAAAGCCCACAAACAGAATAGGGGAGAAGAAAGCTTTAAGTATCAATTTCAAAACAGTGACTGATTTCTCCACAAATAATTATAGTTTATATCGTCTGCAGAGATAACCTGGCTTGGCTTACCCCACCCATAATCTAATTTCAGGAGGAAAAAAGCTTTATTTTAACACTCATATAAGTCAACACTAACACCTTTTCTCTGCAAGGATTTCTTGAGAAACTCGAATATGTGTTTTGATTTAATGCTATCAAAAGTTTACAGCTTCCTATGCTCCTGTGTCAAACTGAATTCCCTCTCCAAAGCACTTTCATTCCTTTCCTTGTGTGCTTTCGTTTCAGCTGTGACTGTTAGAAACAGCCTCTCAGACCTTACAACCAAATGACAAAGAAGGCGATGGCACCTTTTAAAAAATACTGACAAGTGGTTTCTGTTTCTAAAGGACAAAATAAAGAGGATGTCTTGTTTTTAATTAGGCTATTTTCCCCACTGAGTTGGAAATTCCAGTGCACTACTGGTTGACCACAGCTGCCAAATCTAAAAGCTCAAAGAAGAAGTAGAGCTTTATGCTAATTTTATGGCAATATAATAGAATATTTATCTTGGCCTGTCCTTTTTTCAGATAATTCCAACGGAAAACTGTAACTGCCATCTCTTAGAGCTGCACATAGAAAAGTATAGAAGAAAGACAACTATTATTCTTTATTCCCTATAAAGTTCCTGGAAAAAAATTCTATATTTGAATGTGTCTTTTTGTCTCAGCACATTTATGGAACAATATTAACTAGCCTGAATATTTTAAAATTTTGTAGAAGAAAATATGCATCTATTTTTCCTTGGCTTGTTTTTATATAGCAATAAAAAATTATTTTGGAATCTATTTGTCTGTGATATCCATTTGTTTAGGGTAGCAGGTATAGGCATTGTTCTGAAAGTTTCCTTCCCATAGGAAAAAAAATTTTTTAAGTTTTTTTATCGTAGATGCTGTCATATTTCTCTCTAAAGTGCTCTCTGAGTACCATACCTTTTACACCACCAGGAGGGTTAGAAGACTCCTTCAAAGCTGGCATGGGCACCTCCTGCGTGCCAGGTCGGAACTGGAGCCTTACTCTCAGTGGGAAAGGCAGCCATGGATGAAGGCAACCCCAGCAGGCGCAGGTCAGGCTGGAAAAGCGTGGAAGAAGAACCGATGAAAAGTACTGGTTATTACAAAACTCTGTGCTACTAGATACTTGTCCTCGAGAAAGTACATAATTAAGAATGGACAAATTATTGGTATTTATATTTCCCAAATAAGAAAGATCATTAGCATCTAAGTGGTGCCAGTACTCATCCAATCTTAATTTAACCTCTCATTTAGGCTTTTTTCACCTACTTTTTGTCTCCTGGGAAATGTTAATGGTATTTTATATAATAACACCATAATATGTATATGTCCCATTAGTTCCATAGAGTTGTAATATTATGTGTGCATTGAATTTTTATGTTATATTTTGTCACTGTTTTATATAATTATCTCAGGGGTCCAGTATTTCATTTCAGATCTTAATTGGCAAGTACTTTTGACACTTTATAAATATGTGGCTCAAGCACATTACCATATAATTTTACATGTATTAGCTCATTTGATACGCAGTTGTAATAGTGCCCACGATGCCCTAGCCCCCTGAGACAGCTCTGTTCTACGGACTGCGTGGTACCTGAGTCTCACCACGGTTGATTGGATGAGGGTAGGAAAGAACATGTCACCCACATATGGCCTCAGCATAGCTGGTGAGGTGGCCTGGCGTGAAAAGATATCGTTTCATTTCATTTCAGATGGAGGAATAAGGATTTCAGAGGAATTTATTTCTCTCCCTTCTAGGAACTTGAATGGGGAAAGACTTCAAGAATGAGTTAGTGAGAACAGGTGTTAAACGAATGCCTAGAGAGAGCAGCCATGAGGGAGAGTCTAGACTAGGGATCAGGAAACTGTCTAAAAAGCCAAATAGTTTTTGTGAGCCACATCGTTTCTGTTGCAACTACTCAGCTCTGCCTTTACAGCTAAAAAAGGCCACAGACAATAGTAAATGAATGAGCACAACTGTGTTCCAACAAAGCTGTATTTGTCAAAGCAGTGGCGGGCCCCATTTGGCTCACAGGCCAAAGTTCACCGATGCCTGGCCTAGACTATGGGGTTTGGCCATGATACCTCATGGCAGGCTGAAGTGATGAAAAATCAAGAACTAGGTGGTAAAGAGAAAATACCGATGGTAGAGAGGAAGAACTGGTAGCTGATGATAGGAAACACAAGTGAACAGTGTAGCAGTCTTGGGAAAGAGGGCCAACTCAAATTAATGGCAGGTACTAGAGTGAAGATCATAGACTCCGGCTGAAGATTCCTCAGGGTTGGGAGATCTCTGTCTCCTCTTTGGCCCTAAATAAAATTCAGTGATTTCAACACCATTAACACCACTTTGCAAATCAAGGAACTTAGGTTCAGCAAGGTCAGGCGTTTGCCCAAGTTCCCCAGCTGGTAAGCAGCCATCAAAATAGACACCCAGCTCTTCGGACTCTTAAATCCAGGGTGCTTTCCTCCTCAGACCAATACTTCAGTGCACTTTGAAATGTGCTACCTAACAAACGATGCCCAGTAATCTGAAAAGCAAAGATTGCTTTTGTAAGATAAACAAGCATCTGTTCAGTTGTAAATTTTAAACATCTTTAATAAGGCATACAATCTGTGCTTTAAATGGAAATTTGGTACCAAATCTCCTCTGTGATAAACTCCAAAGTTGACCATGACCAGTTTCCTTCTTCCTGTATGCACACGCTGCTCCCCATAGCAAGAAGTGACATCTCTTTCTTTGTTCCTTGAATCTGGCCTGGCCTTTTGGCTTTAACCGATGGAATGTAGGAGTGACATTCTGAGAATCTTCCCATGCCTTAAGAGAGCTTACAGCTTCTATTTCCTCCTCTTGGTCTAGCCATTGTGTTGCTAAGGAAATGCAGAAAAGGCCACCTGAAGAGAGACAATAAGAAATAATAAGTGGTCATTATTTTAAACCACTATGTTTTGAGGTGGTTTTTTATGCAGCAATAGATGTGGCACATGATTCTCATTTTAAAAATTAAAATGGGTGTAGACTAAATAGGAGGTCTTTTCCAGAGTATTTCTGCAAAGTTTATTACACTTTTCTTAGGATTTCTTTTTTGTTTTGTTAAAAAAAAGTTTGGAAAACACAGAGTTAAAGTCAAATAGTCTCTTTAATGTAGGACTTTGCATACGTTTCCTCCCCGCCCCCCTGTATCTTATTACGAACATTCCCAAACATACAGAAAAGTTGAAAGAATTATAATGAACATACGCACACCTAACACTTAGAGCCTATCATTAACAATTTGTTATATTTGCTTTATCACATTTCTGTATATCGATCCATTCCTTTATTCATCAAATACTCCTTTTTAAATTTTTGATACATTTCAAAATGTTGCCAACCAGTACATTAGTGTGGGTGAACGTTTTTTAATTTGTTAAATATCATAGGAAAAAAACATTCAATATGTTACTGTTAAATATGCCATATATGACCTTTATCAGGTTGTGGAATTTTAATTTGCTGAGCTTTTTTTAAAATCGTGAATAAAATTGTTAAATTGTGTTAAATGATTTTTCTGCATCTACTGATACAATTTTATTGGTTTTTCTGCTTAATTCTGTTAACATGGTGAATACATTGATTGGTTTATGAATATTAAGCCAGCTTTGCACTCCTGAGTTACACTCCCCACATCATGACATGTTATTCTTTTTATAGGTTTATTGCTGGAGTAGATCTGCTAATTTTATTAAGGATTTTTCTTTCTATGGCAACAGAGATATTGATTTGAAATTTTCCTTTTCTGTAATAGTTTTCTCAGGTTTTCCTGTCAGGATAAAGCTATTCTCACTAAAGGTTGTTGGGAAGTGTTCCCTCCTCTATTTTCTAAAAGAATTTAACACTACTATTATTTCTTCTTTAAGTTTGATAGAATTTGTCAATTAATCATCTGGACCTGGAGTTTTCCTTGTGGGGAAGGTTTTGATAATGTTTTTGATAATGAACCTAATTTCTGTAAAAGATATAGGGGTATTCAGATGATCTGTTTCTTCTTGTGTTAGTTTTGGTGAGTTGTAGATGTCAAGGAATTTGTTACAACCAAGTAGCTTCAGAGAAACCAGGGCCTTCCCTCAGCAAAAAGCAAAAGGTAAAAAATGGAAACTTATTCAGTGTCATTCCCTCTTTTAAATGACAGTTCTATTCTAATTTCTGTTTTCCAGTGTCTTCAGGTAGTTTTTTAAAAAGTATTGTTTTCAGAATTATGGATCATTAACTGTGAAAAGATTTGTCCAATAGAAGCTATTCTTTTATTACCAGGAGCCAGAACTTGCTAATATGTAATGTGCTTCTTCAAGATATAGAATATAATATTTTTCTAAGTTATTTTGACCAGAGAGGTTTTTTCTTTAATGGAACAGCTGCAGAATGACTGCTTTGTTTTGGAAAATCGGATCAAAAGACAGCCTTTCTCAAGGTGCTTTTACCGCTTCTCACCAAGTACAGACCTTGCTTATTATCCACTTAGATTTTCTGCTCACTTAATTAAATGCTGTACAAAACATAGTAGCTTTAAACACCTTGCAAAGTCCTCAGGCAAGGGAAACAAAAGAAAAAAATAAACAAATGGGACTAAATCAAACTAAAAAGGTTTTGCACAGCAAAGGAAACTATCAACAAAATAAAAAGCTGAATGGGAGAACATATTTGCCAATACATCTGATAGGGGGTTGGTAATCAAAGTGTATAAAGAACTTATAAAAGTCAACACCAAAAAACCCCAAACAATACAATTTGTAAAAATGGGCAAAGAACCCTAATAAACACTTCTCCAACGTGGACATACAGAAGGCTGAGAGCCATGCAAAGTTGCCCAATGTCACTCATCATCAGAGAAACGCAAATTAAAACCACAGTGAGATGTCATCTCACACCTGTCAGGATGACTATCATGAATAAAACAACACACAAGTGCTGTCCACAAATTCTTTGATATTCCTCCCCCCAAAAAAGCAGAGCCTAATTTCCCTTCCCTGGAACCGTGGCCAACCTTAGTTACCTGCTCCTGACAAACAGAGGTGATGCTGTGTGACTTCTCAGGCAAGTCCTCAAAAGGGGAGACAGCCTTTGACGTGTTTCCTTCTCGCTTGGGGTACTTGCCTTTGGAATCCAGCCAGCATTTGGAGAGGAAGCCAGCGGCCACATGGGCAACCCCAGCTGAGGTCCTGGTTCACAGCCAGCACCGACCAGCAACCTGTGAGTAAGGGAGTTTTCAGGTGGCCCCAGCCACCAGTCTCAAGCCCCTTCCTCCCGGGCGATGCCTCAGGGAGCCAAGACAAACTGTCCTTCCAAACTCTGCCCAAATTACAAATTTGTCAGGAAAATAAATGCAGCCATTGTTTTAAGGCACTCCATTTCGTGGTGGTTTTTTATGCAGCCACAGGTAACCATTGTTGAGATGCAAATACTACTAGAAATATCCACATATGTAAATAAAATCCATAACAGTTACACTCTATACATTATAAATTACAATTTCCTTATGGCCCCCAGCTTTATCACTTACTGACTCTCATTCAGTCAGTCAGTCTCCTGAGCATCAGCTTCTGCAGCTGTAAGACAAAGATAAAAATGCTTGTCTTTAAAATAAATCACTTATGAAGATTATATAGCAACAAGGAAAATGTTATATTGATTGTTATAAAACTAGATACAAATGATTAAAAGTGTAAAAAAT